TTTTTTTGTGCATTTTTTTGTGGTATGACTTGTGGTCCAGGGCGGAAAAAAGCACAAAAAAAAGCACAAAAAACCACGGGGATTTGGACAATTTTTTTGAAAATTTGGGGTGGGGAGCCGGGAGCGACGAGGTGGGGAGCCGGGAGCGACAAGGTGAGGAGCCGGGAGCGATGGGTGGGGAGCCGGAAGCCAGGGGGTGGAGCAGGGAGCCAGAGCCAATTTGGGTTTGGCTCTCATCCTGCTCCCAGTGTAATCACAATCTCCCTTCCTTTCTTTCTTTCCTCTTTCCTTTGGCTGTGAGAGCACGCAATCCTGGCCACCTGCTACCGTTCCAGTCTTGAGCCATCATATCATAATTTGAATTGCCACTTGAGATTGACAAATTAGTGAGGGGATTGGGATGATACTGGTTGTTGTTGGTTTGCAATTATGTTCAGATTTGTGTTCTTTTGAGTTAACCCGCCCACTACTCCAATCATTTTGCGTTTCCTAGACCAGAAATTACAATGCAATTTCCTTTAATGACTTTGAATATGATTATTGTTTTTGGAGGTATGGTTTAAGGGCCCTGACCCTTTACGACTGTTACTGTGGGGGGGCAGGGCCCAATATATATATATATATATATATAAGTGCAGAAAGCATTATGATGCACACAAGGTGGACAGAATTTAGTGCCTGCACGCCACACATTGAAGTCTCGAGTGTCTGTCCTGTAACTTCCACCCGAGCCAACAAAGGAACGCTTCCAAACTGCTTCATGATGGGATAAATGGGTGCTAAGCAAAGACAGAAGCAAACCTTCGTTCAAAGCTTATGCACAGATATGCACAGTGCAAAGTCGAGCGGAAGTGATCTTTGCCTTGAACATGCTTTGTTGGACAAACAGCAACCTGTGCACTGTGCAGCCATTCTGCATGCCAAACACTTGGAATCGCGACGTGCGGAGGTCTGTCCCTAAATCGGCTTTGGATGGCTTGGGTTCCAACAAAATGACCTCCGGAGTCTCCGGTTCCTCCGTTGGCGGGAACGGTTGGCGCTCGGAGTTTTCACACCGGGCACCTTCCAGGCACCAACATCGGGAGCGAGCGGCGCTCATGTTGACATGACTGCAACAAACGAGAGAATGGTACCTTTAGGCACTGTGATGGCACATTTATATGGGCGCAGGCTTACAAATGGCTGTTAGGAAGTGGCACGGTCACAACTCAACAAATGCAAATGTGTGCAAATGCGTGCGATCCAAGCAGAAAAAACGTCAGTTCCACCGATCAGTAGTGAGGCATTCCGTGCGTTCCGTGCGGCACACCGTGCGGCACACCGTGCACCTCCGCGAGACGCTCCTAGAACTGCGGTCACAGACACATCGGCCACATGGGCATCGGCACTGCAGTGCTCGCCGGAGCCGAAGAAGGCACGGACGTTGCACATGAAGAGCATGGGCACCGCCACCAGCACCAGACCGGTGAGCGCCAAGCCAAGCCTCAACAAGACCGAAGATGGAGAAATGAGCTGAGTAGCAGTTAGCTCTCAGAACTACCACTCTAGACGGTTTTCCATATAGAAAAGACCAGCAGAACAATCAGGCACCTATCAATTACCTGTTCTTTTTCTGGATCTGTTGTCTTGTATTAGGGATGTCTAAATTCGTTATACTTCCAAAAGCGGTAGTTGATTTCAGGTTGCTGTACTCTTGCTTGCTACAGTGTGGTGGATGAGATCAAGCAGGGCTTCCAAGGCACCACACCCTGCGAGTACTTGACAAGCTGTGAGTACTTGGAATCCTTACTTTGAAGATTCAAGACTAGGTGGCACCGTCTACAACGTCCCTGACCACACCTTGCTCAATGGCTGTGTATTGGCATAGGTCTCGACCTCCCAACAAACCCGTGGCTTCCGTTCAGAAAAGAGACAACAAAAAACCGGCCGGGCCAAGGGGTCTTAAAATCTCCAAGATGCGTGGGCCTGACCCTTGGTCCGCACGGCCTGGGCTCCGCCTGAACACGTCGGTCGCGCTTGCGCGAGCCGGGTTCCAAGTCGTTCGGTCGTGTGCTCAGTCGTTCGTGCATCGGAATATTCTCGACACTTGCAGATCAAACATGCTATAGGATACTACTATAAAGCGAACAAATGGACAACTCACAGATTTCAGGGATCTTCTTCATCGATTTATATTGATCCATTTCGTGCGTATACAACAAGCCCTGCGACCGGGGTTTAGAACAGCCCAAGGTCGACCCCCTCCACACAGCACTTGGATTGGTTTAGACGGTTTAGACTCTAAGTTTCAATCGAGTTCGTGTGGATCGAAGCGCTTCAGTTTGGATCGTTTCGATCACGTATTCCATGCCAACTCCCAACCTGGTCACTGGAGTGGCCTTCCTCCACTGTCATATAACCTGCGATGTGCGCCATGGATTCAGGCGGCACGGGGTCCGTAGGTTCGAACTCCGCGAAGCTTCGCGCGAGCGATGGTGTTCAGCCAAATGCTGCGAGGGAACCGGCCTGGGCGGGTTTGCGAGGGCACGGGAGCTATGTTCTGCTCTGAAGGTCCAAATCATCTTATATAATTACTTTAAAGCATGATAATCATGTGGTCTTGAGATCGCAAACGTTCCTAAACTAAATACTTTTGCTTTGAGGCACTTGATATATTGTACAATATTGTATATAATATCTAGCTTGCAGCTTGCAATGCAACGACCAATTTCAACTCATACGCCGCAACAAGCTCTCAATTGGGAAACCTCCGACAGAAAAAAACATGAACTCACCAGTCAGTGAGAATTATCAATCCCAAACGCTCTGTTGTAAGCAACTATAGCCTACATTCACCACCCAATCCCACCAGTCATGTATGCCATAGCACAAAACAAAGCGTCTGCTTCATGATTCTCAACGATTCTCCCCCCAAACGACGGAATCGGCCACAAACGGTGAAGAACATCGCCGCAGAATGAGCAGCTGGCTAAGGCCACACCCCGCTGGAATCCGAGCCCCCTGGGTCGAGCAGAACTTCACGCTTTTCCGAGCCAGAACTTCGCTGCTCGGCTTCGCAGTGCGGGGTTCTGCCAAGTTTTTGGCAGAAAAAAAGGAAGATCCAACCGATCCTAGCTAATGCTCCCCTGCAAGGAAAGGAGATATCTAGTAAAAATGGTAAATGCGACCCAGAGAAACTCACCTCTCACATTTGTAAGAAAAGACTGGCCTCTGTAGAGTAAACATCGAATATCTTAGAATCATGTATACTAAGAAGATCACACAGGAATGGTTCTGAATGCGGTAAATAGGCCATCTCGATGTCTCCAAGAAAGAAGACCAATCTCTTGTAGCGAGGTGAGCGTGGGTACTTGCATCTGCTCCCTTGGTCAGTCTTTATAGGGCAAAAACACAGAACGCTTGAGTTGACACTCATGATCAAGCCCCCAAAACTGCCAAGGATGCTTAAGCAGTCCTAAGTCCTAAGCATGCCCATGTGTGAGTTTGCTCAGTGCACATGGTGGACCACGTGGTGGTGGTAGCTGGCACCTGAGGACCAGCTGTGGCTACCACCGGAGGACCAGCTGTGGCCGGACATGGCCCCAGCAGCTCCAGCAGCGGCCCCAGCAGCCCCGGCTCCGGCGACGAAGTGATGAGTGACGACCACGTGGGTGTGTCCATGTGCACCAGGGCCATGGTAGACATAGCCCGGGCAGCCCAACTGCTCATGAGAGCAGCACCAGGACTTCTTGGCACCTGCACTTCAAATACAAAAACACCATGTATGAGTTGCAGAACTTCTTCGCACCAAGTCCTCAAAAAGAAATCCCCATCCCCTTCACTGTAATTACGATGAGGGTTTCGAATCGGGTCTTCATCTGAACTAGGAGCACCTTGTTTCTTCAAATGCCCATAGCGCTAAAAAGGACCCAGGAAGGAAACACACAATACCGTAGCACGCCATTTCCTTCGCACATTCTGCGCGCCTGACCAACCATGCTCCCAGCCAGCGAGACCGGCATGGCAGGCATAAGGCTTGGCCACTGAGGTCGCAGCACCAGCCATCTGAGCCTCCCAGGTCCAGTGGCCGCTGATCATCACCTGCCGCGTCGCGGCGTGGCACATCCGCCCAGCGAATGGGGATGCCGTGGTCCTCGAGACGTTCCGTACGAACCAATGGTGGATGCATCTCCAAGTCACCATGTGGATCATGCAATGTAGACTCATAGAATTAGTAACGTCCCCCATATTTCAGAGGTTTTTCAATCCACATGGGGTGGGTTGATCGATCAGTCTACCGTCTACCTGCTTCCTTGTGCAAAGACTACCTTCTACAAAACCCCTGACCTTCGGAACCTTCGGGTCATCGAGTGGTCCAGTCGTCCACGGCAGAACGAACCCTTCGCTCGAAAGCGCCTTCTTCCAGACCTTGCCCGCGCCGGCATCGCCTTGGGGGTCACCGGTGACGGAGGCCGGGGACCGATCCGGGCGAGGGGTGCAGTGAACCGATGATGGGGTTGAACCACGACCAGGGATGACTCGGATGACCAAATCAGCAACCTCTCCACTGGCTTGGTTCAAAGCGTGGTCCCGGGCTTGCCCAGCTTGCCTAAACCTCTCGGTGGTCTTTTACCATAATCCCAAGTTTTCGGACTGCCACCCGATGTTTGCCGAGCCGAACCAGAAAACCCCGAACCGAACCAGAACCTGGTCTTTGGCCACGGGTTGACAACGCGCACCACTGAGCCCAAACGAAGCCGGAGCATAAAACTGACAAGCATATCCATCACACCGAGGGTCATTACCCCTCACCAGCCGCGACCGCTTTCCAAGCACCAAGTGGCAATTGGGAGGAGTGTCCGGAGACTGGCAGCCCTTCCTGAGACTGCAGACTGGACTGAGACGGAAGGGGCGACATGGTGTTTTCACCAAGGCCCGCTTTAGGGACCCATTTCACGTCTGTCAAGATGGGCACAAAAAGAACTTATAGCGAATGAAGGTCAAACACTTGGAGCCTGCAAGTGGAGGTCTGTCTTGACATATTTAAACATGAGGCACACGAAGTGGCCTCATGATTTAACTTCCTCAGGACCAGCTAGCTATAATACTCTTACTCTTGGTCTTCCCACCATCAACAGCAAGCTGAGCCACCACTCAAATAGCTCAAACCCCCAGCCCAAGCAAGTTAACTCATGAAGCAACATCGACTTTGCATCGCAAAGCATGAACATGTTGTCAACATGCCACTGACACCATAGATACCATAGATACCGCATGATACCGCTGACACTGCGTCCCACGTCGCCTCTTATTCGCAGTGTCTCAACCCATGTGCCATCAGGCCGCTGCTGGTTGTTGCAGCACCACACCTTCTTGGAAGGAGACCAAGCACGGCACCAGTTGCCAAGTGCGGCATTGCAATCGAAGGCCTCCTTGCCTGGTCCTTGCTCTCCACAGCCCGCCGCCTTGCAGCCAGGCGCTGTGGCACGCGTGGTCCCGACTGAACAAGGATCAGGAGTACTGAGTAAAGTATCATTGGTTCCAAAACTCAAACAACTTGACTTGACCATCCCAAAACTGTCAGACGACCACTGGGTTGGGGGAATATCCAAAACGATCATCATCATCATCATCATCATCATCAATGAAGGCTATATAAGCTTCCCTCCAATGTTCTTTTAATTGTTGCAAGCAAGGGTGCAGCCCGACCAGCCCTAAAGACCACTTAGGTTTGCATCTGGCATTGTCATTGTCAAATATGTCAGCTTCGCCATTAATTAGCGGAAACAAAGAAAATAATGCTCAGAAAAAAGTTGACCAATGTACCACCAAAGCACTCACACAAAAACGAAACACAAGTGAAGCACATGACAGCTGTGGGATTGGAACCTACGCGCAGTAGAACTTGAGTGTACCCCCTTACACCACTCGGGCAAACTGTCCTTACTTTTTCCTTGCTTGAAACAAATCACAGCCCTTGACCTTTCAGAGCAGCCTCGCGCTGGAAGGAAGCAGGTGCCCCGCAACAACATGGCCAACATCGTTTGTTGGGTATATTGGTTGAATTTACCACAGCGGGGAATTTTCAAACCGATATCTGGGTTGGGTTGGGGAAGCAACCCCAAAACGATCAACCTGTTTTCATAATTCGTTGCCTCGCAGTCGTCTTTGTCAAGTGTTTTCTGTCGTCTCCCACAAACTATATATATATATATACCTGGAGCCTGAGTGACCCCTGCTTTGGAGGATCAACTATCCAAAATATGGTCAAACTTCCTATCAAAACAGGTGTCAGTCAGGCTCTAGGTTATATACATTAATATACATGTATCTACTTTCGACGAAGGGGACTCTCTTCTGCCGAGCCCACCTGAATGGTGCATGCACGGCAAACATCACATTCCACCTGCACCTTGCTGTACGCGAGGTTGCCTCGGTCGATGTGGGCACAGGTTGCATGTGCGACGTTTCAGGACCAGTAGGAGCTCAGTTTGTGTGGTACATGGTCTTTTCAGGACATGAGGTAACGTGGTGCATGTTCGTCTGCATGAAGCTGCTCGCCATCGATCAAGTTCGCTAACAGAAGGATTACATGAAATATCATGAAATAACAATGCCAAGATCTGGCATGACCTACAAACAACACACACACCTTGTACAAGGGGATATTTATGAAGACATACGAACACCTGTGAAGTCTCATCGTATCTTTTGGGTTTGGTAGGCCACCAAAAAGGAAGGCACCAAACGAACAGCAGGGTGTTCTTCCAGCTCTTCACCCGTCTATACTATATAGTACTGCGTACTAACACTCAAACATGACCCAAACGGGATTGGAATATTGACCTACATTGATCCCATAGGAAATGTGATCAAAGCAAGATGCACAGTTCTATGCACTGTTTTTAATACGTATTTCCAATTTATTTCCCTACAACTGAGAGTTGAGGGATTGTCATGTCAAGGCTCTTGTTCTCCCACGTTATCCCATGGACAAACTTTCGGCCAGTAGCCACACGGCTTTGGTTTTCGTGTGCCCACGTGGGTACCCGATATATCCAGTTACGTTCGTGCCAGTTCTGTAGCAAAACGTTCGCCTAGCCAATGGAGTTGTACCTCCCTTCGGCCCAGTGACAAGCATTGCCCTTGCCAGAGAAGACATTCTGCTGGGACCACTCGATGCGCTGCTTGCAGGTGCTGGTCTCACCGTGCAAGTTGCACTGCGCGTCGCATCCCAAGGGCGACAAGGTGGTGTGAGGGCATCCCAACTGGAAGTTCTGGCAGCAGAAGTCGCGCTGATCGCCAGACCAGGCCTGGGGACGTCACGTTCGAAGTGGCCAAGGATGGAAACATCGGAACTCGGAAGACAAGCACCCTGCTATGTTCTGCTTATCATCCAAGTCGGGAATGTCGGTGAAGCGTGGTCTGTTTTCAGA